GCGACATGTAGTAACGAGAGCGCTACGTTACCGCCACGTGCCGCTGGGGAGGTAGGGGTCCTCCGTTGCGCAACATGTCACAATATTATCACCCAGTATATTCACATCATCAGCACAGGCCAACAGTTGATGGGTCCCGTTTAATTTCAGTCCCAACTGGTTTTCCTGGACCTTCCTAATGGCAGATTCTAAAGTAAAGTCGAAAAGGAGTGGCAATAAAGCATCTCCTTGTCTTAGACCATTCTGGATGGGAAAACTATTAGATAAATATTTACCTATATGGACTTTACCATACATTTCGTTTAAATACATTTTAATCAGCTTAACTAGTTTCATGGGTGCCCCAAACTCTATCACAATATTGTACAATACTTCCCTCCTAACTGAATCATATGCTTTCTTGAATTCTATGAATAGCTGATATACTGTCTTATCGTACTCCCATTTTTTCTCCAATATCTGACGAATGCAAAAGATCTGATCTGTAGTTGATCTGTTACGTCAAAACCACACTAATGATCAACAATATTTTCGTCTATGTATGGACTTAAACTTGAGAGAAGAATATTGGATAAAATTTTGTATGAAGTTGATAGCAGCGATGTTCCTCGATAATTACTACAGTCAGTTTTAGCACCCTTCTTGTGAACTGGTACAATAATAGACTCCTTCCATTGATCAGGTAAGTTTTCCTTATGCCAAATAGAAATAATTATCTTATGGATCTTACAACGTAATATTTTGTCTCCTGCTTGAATAAGTTCTGCTGGAATTTGATCACTACCTGACGATTTATACCGTTTCAATTTCACAATAGTACTTTCAACCTCAGAAGGGCTAGGATCAGGTATTAACGGCTCAGCTGTATGGATTTCTGTGTGCCTAACATCACTGACCATACGTACATTCAATAACTGAGAGAAGTAGTTCCTCCACCTATTGAAAATGTTGTGGGAATCTGCAAGCAGATCACCATTCTCATCCTTCACTATATAACTTCTAGGTTGGTAACCCCTCTTAAAATCATTTATTCCTCTATACAGGTCTGTAATGTTCTTGTTCTTACTGTTCACTGCAAGCTCATCAATTTTGTCTTTCAGATAGTCCCTTTTTATTCCTGAAATGCCTGCTGGTTTCACGTCATATATTATTCAGATTATCCCAATTTATTTCACTTGGATCCTGAAACCATTGCAATTTGCCTTGCTTTCTTTGGTTTAATAATTGTGAGCATCCTTCATCAAACCATGGCTTATGCTTCTTCAGTTCATAATAACCTAGACTCTCCTTAACAGAAATTTTTATATTCTCTCTAATAGTTTCCCAAGCATTATTAACATTCAGCTAAGCATCCAAGTTCTCCAAAGCCACGATCCTATTTCAGATTTCAATACGATACTGCTCTTTACCCTCTACCTCATTTCATTTCCTGAGAGTAAACCTCTCCATATGAACTCTGTGCGTTGTTTGTTTGCTCACTGCCAGTTTTTCCCTAACCCTTGCCACCACCAGGTAGTGGTCAGTATCACAATCTGCTGCCCTGAATGATAGGACATCAAGTATACTTGAATGCAGTCTCCTATCTATCAAAATATGGTCAATCTGATTGTGTATCTTCCCATCAGGAGATGTCCAAGTAAATTTATGGATGTTTCGATGTGGGAACATTGTACTTTTAACAGTAAGAGTTTCGATGAGGCAACGGTTACAACTCTAACTCCATTATCATTACTAATTTCATGCAAACTCTCATTCCCAATCGTTGGTTTGAAAATGTCTTCCCTCCCTACTTTGGCATTGAAATCTCCTAGCAAAATTTTTATAGGGTACTTCGGGAATTTATCAAATACATGTTCTAGTTCTTCATAGAACCTGTCGTTTATGTCATCAATTTTATCTTCTGTTGGGGCATGAACATTAATAACAATAACACCAACAACCTTTTGGTATCATGTATGATATCCTATCACTAACAAACTCTATCCTCTTAACTGCTGATACAATTCTCTTATGTACAAAAAAACCTGAACCTAATTCATGATTTTCATCCCCCTTTCCATAGAAAAATGTATATTCGCCTGCTAGTGCGATGCCACCTCTGTCCCATCTGACCTGTACTCCCACTAAATCTAATTTATATTTTAAGATTTCTTCCGCCACTGCCCTGANCCCAGTATATTCACATCATCAGCACAGGCCAACAGTTGATGGGTCCCGTTTAATTTCAGTCCCAACTGGTTTTCCTGGACCTTCCTAATGGCAGATTCTAAAGTAAAGTCGAAAAGGAGTGGCAATAAAGCATCTCCTTGTCTTAGACCATTCTGGATGGGAAAACTATTAGATAAATATTTACCTATATGGACTTTACCATACATTTCGTTTAAATACATTTTAATCAGCTTAACTAGTTTCATGGGTGCCCCAAACTCTATCACAATATTGTACAATACTTCCCTCCTAACTGAATCATATGCTTTCTTGAATTCTATGAATAGCTGATATACTGTCTTATCGTACTCCCATTTTTTCTCCAATATCTGACGAATGCAAAAGATCTGATCTGTAGTTGATCTGTTACGTCAAAACCACACTAATGATCAACAATATTTTCGTCTATGTATGGACTTAAACTTGAGAGAAGAATATTGGATAAAATTTTGTATGAAGTTGATAGCAGCGATGTTCCTCGATAATTACTACAGTCAGTTTTAGCACCCTTCTTGTGAACTGGTACAATAATAGACTCCTTCCATTGATCAGGTAAGTTTTCCTTATGCCAAATAGAAATAATTATCTTATGGATCTTACAACGTAATATTTTGTCTCCTGCTTGAATAAGTTCTGCTGGAATTTGATCACTACCTGACGATTTATACCGTTTCAATTTCACAATAGTACTTTCAACCTCAGAAGGGCTAGGATCAGGTATTAACGGCTCAGCTGTATGGATTTCTGTGTGCCTAACATCACTGACCATACGTACATTCAATAACTGAGAGAAGTAGTTCCTCCACCTATTGAAAATGTTGTGGGAATCTGCAAGCAGATCACCATTCTCATCCTTCACTATATAACTTCTAGGTTGGTAACCCCTCTTAAAATCATTTATTCCTCTATACAGGTCTGTAATGTTCTTGTTCTTACTGTTCACTGCAAGCTCATCAATTTTGTCTTTCAGATAGTCCCTTTTTATTCCTGAAATGCCTGCTGGTTTCACGTCATATATTATTCAGATTATCCCAATTTATTTCACTTGGATCCTGAAACCATTGCAATTTGCCTTGCTTTCTTTGGTTTAATAATTGTGAGCATCCTTCATCAAACCATGGCTTATGCTTCTTCAGTTCATAATAACCTAGACTCTCCTTAACAGAAATTTTTATATTCTCTCTAATAGTTTCCCAAGCATTATTAACATTCAGCTAAGCATCCAAGTTCTCCAAAGCCACGATCCTATTTCAGATTTCAATACGATACTGCTCTTTACCCTCTACCTCATTTCATTTCCTGAGAGTAAACCTCTCCATATGAACTCTGTGCGTTGTTTGTTTGCTCACTGCCAGTTTTTCCCTAACCCTTGCCACCACCAGGTAGTGGTCAGTATCACAATCTGCTGCCCTGAATGATAGGACATCAAGTATACTTGAATGCAGTCTCCTATCTATCAAAATATGGTCAATCTGATTGTGTATCTTCCCATCAGGAGATGTCCAAGTAAATTTATGGATGTTTCGATGTGGGAACATTGTACTTTTAACAGTAAGAGTTTCGATGAGGCAACGGTTACAACTCTAACTCCATTATCATTACTAATTTCATGCAAACTCTCATTCCCAATCGTTGGTTTGAAAATGTCTTCCCTCCCTACTTTGGCATTGAAATCTCCTAGAAAAATTTTCATAGGGTACTTCGGGAATTTATCAAATACATGTTCTAGTTCTTCACAGAACCTGTCGTTTATGTCATCAATTTTATCTTCTGTTGGGGCATGAACATTAATAACAATAACACCAACAACCTTTTGGTATCATGTATGATATCCTATCACTAACAAACTCTATCCTCTTAACTGCTGATACAATTCTCTTATGTACAAAAAAACCTGAACCTAATTCATGATTTTCATCCCCCTTTCCATAGAAAAATGTATATTCGCCTGCTAGTGCGATGCCACCTCTGTCCCATCTGACCTGTACTCCCACTAAATCTAATTTATATTTTAAGATTTCTTCCGCCACTGCCCTGAGCGAACCTGCCCTCTACATTCCAAGTACCAAATCTCATGTCCATTTTCTTTAGCTTAGGCCAAGTACAATAAATTACTGCACTTAAATCTTGAATTTCACCGAGTACTCCAAATTTCCATTCCAAAAAGTGCGAAGAAAAAATTACACAAATCAAAGATAAACAGCAGTGTAAATATCAAGAATAAGGTCTATGTATATCACACTTTATCAATAATGTAAGAACTTTTCCTTTTTTTTATTCCTCCAATTTCACCATTTAACACTTAGCACAACATGTTTCAGCCATAAATGGCCATCCTCAGGTATCTCAATGTATCGAAACCGCTACACTGCTCTGATGTGCACTAAAACCATGCACTTCAGTCCACTTAAAAATAAAATAAAAATAATTAATTAAAATCCATTAAAATATTTCTCATTACCTTTGTAAAATCCTATTCCTCCTCATTACGGGCGTCGTCCACTTGTTTAGAGCTGTGTGATTTATTGCAGATGTTTTATTTCTGCAGCTTGTTTCTCTGTTCGTTAGCTCGCTGTCTGCCACGTCTGCAATCTGTAAAATGCCCCTTGCTTGTGTGTTGTTCCCTCTAGCAGCGTGTGTTGTTGTCTTCACTGGTGACGACTAACCCATTGTTGTGCTATGTCTGCAATCCATAATATGCCCCTTGCTTGTATGTTGGTCCCTCTAGCAGTGTGTGGGCATTTTACAGATTGCAGACGTAGCAAACAGCCAGCTAATGAACATAAACACAAGCTGCTGAAATAAAACATCTGCAATAAATCACACAGCTCTAAACAAGTGGATGACGCTCCTAATGAGGAGGAATAGGATTTTACAAAAGTAATGAGAAATATTTTAATAGAAAATTTTAATGGATTTTAATTAATTATTTTTATTTTACTTTTATGTGGACTGCAACGCATGGTTTTATTGCACATCAGAGCACTGTAGCAGTTTTGACACATTGAGACGCCTGAGGATGGCCATCTATGGCCAAAACATGTTGTGTTAAGTGTTAAACGGTGAAATTGGAGGAATAAAAAAGGAACAATTGTTACATTATTGACAGACTGTGATATACATAGACATTAATTAAAGATCTGCAACAGGATGCTGAAATACAGAATCAATAATAAGATCCATTTGAATGTACTAATTCCCAGCTACCAGACCACAAAGCATCACATGCAACAGGGCCATAATCTTAAAATTATCCACACTGAGAACCTGAAATCTCAAATCAGAACTACAAAAATCCATTTGAAAATGATGACAAAATTTTCAAGAACATTCTTATTGTGGTCTCTTCAGTTATGACACTGTGTAGTCAATATTTCAGAGGAAGACACTGTCTTCATCTACTGGCCCCTGGGGGGGGCTAATCCCTTAACAGGCCATGAAGGCCCATAGAATTGTGAGACATTGGGGCTCCAACATTTTCTCTAGACAATCAGCTCACAGATGGTGGTAAGGTTGTCAGCCTTATGAGCCGGCTGCTCTTTTCCCCCCAGCAAGATTCCTGGTACTCATTTCTGTTAGGGGCTGAGTCAACCCCAGGGCCATAGTGTGGCTGGAAGGATTAGGTCAACTGAAAAAAAATCCACCTCATCAGGACTCAAACCCACGACCTTCCAGTTTGTAGCATAGTGCCTCAACCTACTATGTCTGTCCTACACAGAGTGTGTACAAAACAGAACAGTTCTAATAGATGCTCCCACAGGAATGTGGATATGCCTTATAATGCTGAATAACAAGCCAGCAACTACAAGCACTGATATTACTGACTACAATCATGGTTACAGATAATCCACAAGAATGCAACATCCTGTGCTGGCTAGACTGAACAGCGCTTCATCAAACCGCAAAATCTACATTCTGATAGTAATGACTGTACCTATTTCATGTGTCAGATGATGCACTAATATAATATATGCTGTAACAAGGCTGCGAGTGGTCTGAAGAAGACGCACAGTGATCAATCTAAGGAACGGCTTTCTGTGCTCTTGGAATAGTTAATCGATATGACTGTAACGCCATGAATTTGCAAAAAGTTTGCTGCAGCTACCAAACATTATGAAACTATTTCCATAACTTGGATGCAGAGAAAAGCTTGAAATTGTATTACTCACTAAACTGCATACAGATACCAAATTTTTCTTCAACTTATTTTTACCCACTCTCCACATGTCTCAATCTCAAGTGGTGTCATGATTTCTTATAAACATTCACTACAGCATGCTTTAAATCATATTCAACAGTCAAGGCAGAAAATAAAGCAGGTTTACTTAATGATGCTGTCAGTAACTCAGACTTTACAGTGTCAGTCAAATCACAGGGTGATCAGTGAACAACGAAGTTGAAAGGACATGCAAAAAGTAACAGTGGTCTAATCTGAGGTACCGGACGCAAGTTACTGGTCAGTGTCACATCCCCACACACTTCCATCTACAGGCAAGAGATCTCCAGTATCCACTGGATGGTTCTAGAGTGTCTTGACACAGTGATGAGAAAAATGCTGCCCCCACCCGGAATCAAAATATTAATCCTCAAGTTGTCAATCCCCATAACATTATAGTGACTGAGGTACTTGGACTATTCTTGATGCAATGAATAAAGCTATCTCTTTAACAGGTCGTGAAGGTCCATAGGGTTGTGAGATGTTGAGGCTCCCACATTTTCTTTAGACAATCAGCTCAAAGACATCAGTAAAGTTGTCAGCCTTATGCACCCGCCACCTTTATCCCCCAGGAAGACTCCTGATACCCATTTATGTTAGAGGCTGAGTCAACCCCAGGGCCATAGTGCGGCTGGAAGGATTAGGTCAACTGAAAAAATCCACCTCATCGGGACTCAAACCCACAACCATCTGGCTTGCAGCATAGTGCCTCAACTAACTATAATACTGTGTGCCCCCAACACAATGAATGAACTTTTTTTTAACATTTACACAAACAAAGCACTCAACAGCACAAAACACTTACAGAACCAAACGTTCCTGCTCCAAGTTTTCTTCCTCCGTTGTTCCCTAGTGGCAGCTCATTAAAACAGTCTGTGAAACGTTCCAACTCTGAATACTGCAGGTGTGGCAACACTGTATCTAGATGAAGAGAGACATTCCTGCAGCAACAAAAATTCATGAACATCAATTCTAAACCAGTTCTGACAACACATCATTACAGCCTTGTGGTTCTGTAATGAGATTTTTAACAGGCATTCCTATAGAATAACACTTTCATCCCAGTGTGTGATATTTTGAACGAAAGACAGGTTATTCCATGTGAAATTATATTTTCTGAAGGTTATCTATCTATGTATCATTACTGGTTTTCTTTCATATTTCCTTGCACGGTTTCTCAATGAGATAAAAACACATTCTCTGGGGTGTGTTCTATTTCTATAACCCCTTCCAAATCTGCACAGGGTAAACACATCCAATTTCATGACACAGACACCTTCATGGTATGACACTTCAAAATTCACCATAAAATTAAGTACGTATTTCCCCATTACTTTTAGAAGTTCTCCACAGATAGCTCCAGGGGCATACGGTAGTGTAGTTCGTTCAGGCACTATGCTACAAGCCAGAAGGTCATGGGTGCAATTCCCAAAGACGTCACTGGATTTTTCAATTGACCCAATCCTTCCAGCCACACTATGGCCCTGGAGTCAACTTAGCCTCTAACAGAAATGAGTACCAGGAATCTTCCTGGGGGATAAAGGGCAGCCAGCACATAAGGCTGACAACCTCACTGACATGCGTGAGCCAACTGTCCAGGAAATGTGGAAGCCTCAAGGTCTCACAACCATATGGGCCTTCACGGCCTGTTATAGGGATAGCTTTACTTAGCCTCACAGCCATCTGTAAGCTGACTCTAGAAAATGTGGGAGTCTTGATGTGTCACAACCCAGTGGGCCTTTTTTTTTTTTTTTTTAACTTTTACCACAGACAGCTACATAATGGGAAATCAAGCTGAAAGGCAATCTGTGAGCCTGACAGTATCATTCTCGGAAATTATATCCTGTTCACTTTAGCACATATGTATTAATATTCGGTTTTAAGTGAACATATAATCTTCTGATGAAATAAACATCAGAATAATGAACACCGATTTTGACTGTTTACTAAACAGTAAGGAACATTATCTCCCCAAAGTGTGAGGTATACTTTGAAGACTTCTGTCTCTTACCGCAATGTTTCAAGCTGGTCCACCGGTAAAGTCTTCTGTTTCCCCAGTCCATCAGACTCTCCTCTTGGAGTGACACCACAAAATACAGACTGTTCCTCCTGCATCACTTCACCTACTGCCTGAATGCGTGGTCCATCTAGGGATGGCAAGCTGCCATCAGCTTCAGTCATCTCATCAAATGCCCTGTCAATTTCAACTGTGTTATATTGATTGCCAGGTTCTGAGGTTTTCAGTGGCAGATTTGCTAGACGCTTCTCAATGGTTTTTTCAGACACGTCAACTGGTGCAGCTGGGCCAGTCACAGGACGCTCAAGAGGTGGTACTGAAAGATATAAGACTCAAATTCCTTATAATGTTAGTTACATTAATAACTAGTGTAATGCCCATTGAAAAACTATACCTACAGATAAAATAGTTTATTTACATCACCAACACAACAGCATCACAAAGACTGTGCTGCAATGATGCAAGTTTATGAGGAATGCGGTAGTGTAGTTGGTTGACGCACTGTGCTACAAGTTGGAAGGTCATGGGCTCAAGTCCCGATGAGGTCATTGGATTTTTTCAATTGACCTAATCCTTCCAGCTGCACTATGGCCCTGGGGTCGACTCAGCCTCTAACAGAAATGAGTACCAGGAATATTCTTGGGGATAAAGGGTGGCCAGAGCGAAAGGCTGACAACCTTGCTTCCATCTATGACCCGACTGTCTAGAAAATGTGAGAACCTCAACGTCTCACAACCCTATGGGCCTCCACGGCATGTTACAGGGATACCTTTACTTTTTACTTACTTTTACATATACATGCTTGTACAGGTAAAACTCCTAGGCATACATACTTACATACTGTCTGCCATAAACTGTGAAAGAATCTCAGAATATTCCATCATCTGGTAATGACTTTTACTGCATGCACAAATTTAGCCTCCTGGGAGAAAACAATTTTTTCATATCGCCATCCGTTAGTCTTGTTCTTTCATTCCTTTATCTCCTTCCCTCCTTTCACCCATTCCTTTTACTTATACACCCTCTTGTCACACCTCTCCATTCCTTTACATTAAAAGAGCAGATCACTCAAAACATGTAATTACAGTTGAATAATAATACAAAATTTCAATTGTGCTATATTCTACATCACTTCAATACTTCCCTGAAAGTAACCATACATATCCAACTCATCTGGTGAGCTGGTGAGAAACAGCAAGGCTAGGACTAAAACCAGATTCCACACACACACACACACACACACACACACACAAGGACCTCAGAATCCTCTGGTGGTGCCCGTCTCTCAGCGAGGGGACGCAGCAGACAGAACTAAACGAGGTACTCCAAATCAACAATAATTGGATCTCTAGCTGCCTCACAATCATTGCTTTCTGTTTGCAGGGCTGATGTCAGTCATACCTTTCATTAAGTCTGCAACATAATCGGCTGCTCTGAACAATTCAGCCTTCCCCAACTGCTGAAGCAGGAATGTGAGGTCCGACTGTTTCCTTCCACTCATTCGCCACTCATCCAGAAAAATCTCTGCACACGGTTGCCTCTGGGTAACTCCTGCTTGTTCTATTAACCTGAAAAAAGTTTAATAAAAACAAAATTTGCTGAACAGCGAAATTCATCATGTAAATCTTCTTTATCCTGCTGTTACTTTCTCCTTGGTCCAAATATTATCCTCAGTACTTGCTCCACGGAACACAAACCTTCTTCAGACAGTAATCTTAATTCAGCGCAGTTGGTGTAGAAACTGGCTCATGGGATGAGCAGCCAAGCGGTCCGAGTTCAAGTCTCATGGGGGCTAGATTTTCCCCCTCTCCACATCGTCCAGCCTAGTTCTGTGGCCCACCCAGTCCCCTATCCAGGTTCTTTCTGCTGGTGTAAGGTGGCAGGGGTGTGAGGCTGAAAACTCACCTCCAACTAGTGCTTCTGTCTAGAATATGTAGATCTATAGCTTCACTCCCGCATATATGCCTTCATGGCACAGTTTACCTTTCATTGGCACATTATCAGAAAAAAACACAAAAATATATACTTATCCTTGTATATTAGGAAAATACAAAGCCAAATTTATGAAACAAAACTTGCAATACAAGGGCGTAAACATGGCAATCAGATGTCTTATTTCAATTTGCTAGGAAGTGTAACTACAAGTACTGCTAAGCAAGTTGTTACTAAATGCTAGTAAAACATCCGTGAATGTTAAGAATACATTTGTTGGAATAATTATAACAAAACATTTTCAGTCCTAAAATTGCTGCAGGTTGAGGCCATTGATCAGACAAGAGTATTTCAGATGCACCATTTACAATGATTATGATTTCCAAAAACGAATATCTGACTTCAATCGTTACATCACTCACCTGCACTCCAAAAGTAAATGATTGTAAACTTACAGTTGTTTCTGAAATGAGAACATAATATTCACTCACTCACTCATGGAGCTGAGACTATCTTGAGAAGCCACTAATTGTGCAGCTACTCAAGAACAACTCAGCATTTTTTGGCAACCTGCAGGTTTATTACCATGTTCACAAGAACCTTACACTAGTACCTATTCTGAGCCAGATGAATCAAAACCATACTGTACCATCCTATCGAAGATCAATTTTAATATTATCCACCCACCTACATCTTGGTCTTCCTCATGGTCTCTTTCCTCCTGGCTTTCCTACCAATATCTTAAATGCATCCCTCTTCTCACCCATTCGTGCAGAAGATATTATTGAAGATTTTAAATATGTAAGAAATTTTGAAAAAGAAAAAAAAAACGGCATTTTATCAATTCAATGATCAGACATCAAAAACCACCCTTGAAAGAAGACTTGTCAAAAAGAGGATGTCTAATGACCCTAACTGTAGGGACAATGGCACTTGACTCTTCCGTTCTACCTACACTCCTCCAGCTTCCTTTGGCCTATGTCAACCAGTCCAAAGCACTTGTTACTGATGGAGGTTAGCACACTATCTCTAGCACCACTTCTATGAACAGATTTGCAGGTGAATTGAGGGGAGGGAATATAGGCAAATTTCTACACTGTACAGATTTTACATTATAAAGTTACAGAACAACTTTTATTATTGTATGGATACTATTATATGGATACTCACTTCATATGTTCCACTTTATACTTTGGCACATAACAATCATCAGATTCACATCCTTCCCGCGGAACAACAGCCATCAGCTGCTTCCACGCATCTCGAATCTCTAGCATATGAACCAGATCATACACAATTCCTGGGGGTAGTTTCCGGATTAACGAACTTCCATCCATTATTAAGCTACATAAAAATTAAATCGTGTTTCAAAAGCAAATATTATCATAAACAATGATTACTGACACAATGCAACACAACGGTTCCATTTTGTAATAAATAGAATATAAATAATGACATATAATGACTACTAATACTTCTTGTTAATATGTATTTAATTCCTGTCTCTTTGTCGTAACGGAATTTGAGGTTAATAACTTGCTAATGGTATTAAATGGCGTAATTAAAATTATTTGAATTTTACGTTGCAATATTAAATACTTCTGTTAATGCAAACAGCGTGCTGGATTTTGTAATATTACCACTACTCAGTAAAATTCGTAATACCATATCTGAAACTACACCACAACTTCTATTTCCTTCCATGTGTTTACACCGAACAACACTCAATAATGTATGATGTGCAACACAATATTTTTCGCACGGAAAACTTTCAAGATACGACTGTGCCGCAATCTTCACGTGAGGTAATTGTAGGTCGGTCTCCGAGCTCAGTCGGCAGTGAGTCTAACTATTATACTGCCGCCTTAAAACAATCTTAATCTGCATCAAATTTTTAGAGCAGTATAACGTAAGGGCTACAAATATTCCTCCACACCAGTCTGACGAAACACATTTGTGCTTCCTATCTCTACAAGTTCCTTCAAGCGCTTCAAACTGCCCTGATTGACACCCAATATTATTTTTTTTTTGCGGAAAAAATATTGTAAATACAAAAAAGGAGTACGCAATACCCTTCCGGCGTTCTATGGCACATTCTTATAAATATCTTATAATATAACAGCGCTATCCGCGTGATTCTTAAACTTAGATCTAATATTAAATCTGAGAGTATACTGTTGATAATCAGTACAATTACCTCTTTTACTTTTCTTACGTATCTATTTTATATAAACATAGGAATGCTGATTATGAATTAACAGACGCCTTGCAGAAATCTTTTTTTCTTCTAGCCTTATGACCTCTATAACTGACTTTGGGTATTCCTATTTCTTCTACTTACTTACTTATGGAGAAGAGACCGTCTTGAGGAGCCACCAAATCTCCAGCTACTCAAGAATTTACCAGCATTTTATGGAATTCGAAGGCTCATTACCGTGTTCACAAGAGACCTCCACTGGTCCCTGTCCTCAGCCAGATCAATCCAATCAATACCATCCATTCCTATATCTCTAAGATCCATTTTAATATCGTCCACCCACATACACCTTGTTCTTCCCACTGGTCCCTTTCCTTTTGGCTTTCCCACCAATATCCTATATGCATTCCTCTCCTCCCACATTCGTGTTACATACCCTGCCCACCTCATCCTCCTTGACCTAATCATTCTAATTGTACTTGGAGAAGAGTACAAGGTATGAAGCTCCTCATTATGCAGTTTTCTCCAACCTCCTGTCACTTCATCCCTCTTCGGTCCAAATATTCTTCTCAAAACCCTGTTCTCAAACACCCTCAGTCTATGTTTCTCCCTTAATGACAGAGACCAAGTTTCACACCCATACAGAACCATAGGCAAAATTATAGTATTGTATATCCTAATCTTTATGTTTTTGGACAGCAGACGAGAATTCAAAAGGTTCTGGACTGAATGGTTGCAATCATTACTCGAGTTCATTCCCTTCTTAATTTCCTCCTCAATCAGGTATTGACTTGTTATCATTGTTCCAAAAAAATTTGAAGTGTGCCACATTTTCAAAACATCTGTTTCCTATTTTTATGTCACGATTTTGCACTGCAGTTTGGTGACTAGACAGCAACATATACATAGTTTTCTCTGTGTTTACTTGTAGACCAACCTACTTACTTGCAACAGTTAAAGTTTGTGTGTTCATTTTTATGGTATATATATATATATATATATATATATATATTATNGTCCCATTTAATTTCAGTCCCACCTGGTTTAGCTGGACCTTCCTAATGGCATATTCTAAAGCAAAGTTGAAAAGTAGTAGCGATAAAGCATTTCCTTGTTTTAGACCATTCTGGGTAGGAAATTTATCAGACAAATGTTTACCCATGTGGACCTTACAATACATTTCATTTAAACAGATTTTAATCAACCTAACTAGTTTCATGGGTATCCCAAATTCTATCAGAATATCAGAACAATTTTTACCTCTCAACTGAATCATAGGCTTCCTTGAAGTCTATGAATAGCTGATGGACTGTCTCATTGTACTCCCATTCTTTCTCTAATACCTGATGAATGCAAAAGATCTGATCTGCAGTAGATGTGTTTAGTCGAAATCCATCACTGTTGCCCTTTGGTCCTCGTACAAGTCATTGTGAATATGTCCTTCATCTAGTGGCAGTGTACCAAACCTGCAGCAGCTATAGGAGCTAGAGCGCCGAGGCCGACAATGCTTCTAGTAGAAGAACCTAGCAAGGTGACGAAAATGGTCCTCTGAGTTGTACAAAATTTGACAATAACAGAACCTTCGCATGAAAACCTACATGCATTTCTGCATATGTCTGAGGCATAACTGACTGAATATTTGTTGAGGTAAGATATATTCCAAACAGAACTTAGAGAGAGAAGTAAAACATATTTTGTATTCACAACACGTTTCCATAAGCCATATGGTTTTTGAGATAATTAAACAAGACCAAGTAACATGTCACAATTGTTGTGCTATGTGTACATTTCTTAATGTGTTTGAGCACAGTTCCTCAGAACTATTTCCATTCGTTTTTGGGAAGAAGGAAATGGACATTGATTTAAATTTAGAAGGATGCATCCCCTTTCTTAAATTTATAGGTCATCATAACTCTGCTTTATCTCTCACTTTGATTGATCATTAAAATTCACGGGTAAAATCCTTGTTTCCAATTCACATTAACTGATTTCATAAATTACTCCACTTAAAAGGGTTAAGGACACAATATTTTCTGCAAGTTGATCACTTGCTTAAGTTAGTGAGGTCTGAGTGGTACCACAGGTAGCTGCCATTGACAGGTTCCACCATATCTCACAACATTGAAGGCTGAATGTTATTTGATACTGCATTAGATGTGTTCTGTATGAGTACAGTAACAATTATGTTACCATACTTCTTTTATAGAAACTATCAACTCACAAATGGAGTGGACAGTGCAATTTAGCAAGTTTTCTCCAAGGCAACATAAGAGTGTCAGGTTGTGTGAAAACTGATCTTCAAGTGATCAAGCATACAACACAGTCTTAATTGACTCCAGAGCTACATGTGTATGTGGACTGTAAAATTTAGCATAGTATCATTCAGCTTATGGAAGTGGTCAAATTTACCAATGTCAGTTACAGTGCTTGTCCTTGTCTGAATGTCACAAGAATGGAGAAATCTCAGAGTAAAAGGTAAGCACTAGCACAGTTCGTATAGCAACTGGCTATGGGTTGGACAGCTGAGGGATTGGAGTTTGAGTCCCAGTAGGGGTAAGATTTTTCTCCTCTCCAAATCACCCAGACCAGTTTTGGGGTCCACCCAGCATCCAATCCAGTGGTAGTGAGGGGCTGTTTCCCTGGGGTTAAAGCCACCAGGCTGTGAAGCTGACCACTCACCTGCTACTACTGCCAACATTCAAAATATATGGATCTATACATCCACTCCCCCATACATATGCATGGCATAGATATAAGGGGAATTGGATGTATAGCTCCACTATTCATAACCTTGGCACTAGGTGGACATGAGTGGTCAGCTTAAACCTTCCAGTCATTACAGCCACTGTGCAGGAGGGTGGGTCCCCGCTCTTTGGCCCACCCTAGCCTCATATACAATTCGTCCTTGAGACTGTATCCCTGGGGCTAAACCACCAGGGGCTTGAAGCTGACCACTTGCCTTCATCTAGCGCCAAGATTAAAATGTGTCCATCATGTCTCACTTGCATTATAGTCAAATATTAATGGACAGTTGGGGGCAGGAAGGCATAAACAAGAGAAAGATGAAAACTGGTGTAGAATCTTCATTCATATGAGGTGCCTCTCATATCTTTAATCCACGGAGACCTCTGCAAAAAAGGAGAAACAAAAAAAAAAGACATCACCAGAACTCCAGTGATGCTAGTCTGGTGTCTATTCACATTATATTCGCTGCTGCAGCAACTGCATCAAGTTCACTTTCCTTGTCAGATGAGGCTGCTTCATTAAGGTCGTTCGCCAGAATTCAACTTACGTTCAGTATAAGATTGAAGAGTTTGTAACGGTGGTACATTAGTACAAACACGAGTATTATGATTCTCAACATTATCCACCATCCTGCCTTTATCTAAAAACACCATCCTCTTTACCTTTCAAAGATAACGTTTCGGAAACTGGGATCTGTCTCTGTGTTCAAGTGAAACCTACTCAGCTGGGCCCAAATGATAGGGCTAGTCCCTATCTCCAGAGATAGTAACTGTAGAAGTCAATGCTTGTGTTGTGAACTTCTGATAGCAGCTTAGGACCCACTAGCATTTGTATTCACTTCCCAACTGGAAAATGAAAACATTTTATGTATTTGATTTTAATTTGTTGTGACTTATTCTATCTCAAAGCTGACAAAACCTTGAATGAGGTTCAATGACTGGAATTTTATGTTTTTCAGATTAACATGACCCTATTAAGGTCAATGTTCATAAATAATGCACAGCAGAGAAGAATATGGACATCATTACAGTGTCAAAGCTACAATAGAATGGATCAAAAATAGAAGTATTTTGACGTTGCAAAGTTCGACAGGCTGGACAGCACATATACCATTACATCTTTGATATCATAATCTTCTTTCCAACAACAGATTCAGAAGAATCCCTTGGAGATTAAAAAAATAAAAAGTTCTTCACGTTTGACCTGATATGTGTGGTGACAGAGAAGATTTCCATTGATACAGCTCTGAGTTTAGGAACAGGGATAGCTCAGTGGCTACGGTATGTGCTCGATGACCAAGGAGTCTGGATTTGATTCTTGGCATTGGTAAGATTGTTCTTTTCTCTGTAACATCCAGACTGACTCTGTGGCAGACCCAGCTTCCTATACAGTGAGTATCAGGGGTAAAGTGGCAGAAGCATGAAGCTAACCACTTACCTGCATCTAAAAGCTGCAGGTAAGGTGGTGGCACTATAACTCCACTCCCCCATATATCTTCACGGTGTGGTGCTCAATTAAGCAAGCCCTCTGATATCATTACCTTTACCATCTCTGCTTGTGGGCTCATGTGAACATGATAATCAACCTTGGTGAATGGCTGAGTGACTCAGTGTCTTAACTACGTCACGTGGAGTTAGTTGGTCAATAGCCCAAATGTATACAGCAAAGCATTTAGTGTGTGCAACACCTCCAACTTCAGCATACATTTCCCTGCTCACTTCAGCAGCCGAGCAACCCCCTCCACAGGGGGGTGATGCGGAACAGCCCACATTCAAGCAAACGTTACAAAAGGTCGAATGTATTCATAACAGACAGACACATCTTCTCGTCAGAGAGGATATTACATAAGGACTATTACCGCAAGAGTTCAGTTGGGAAAAAAAATCTCTGGTGGTCAGCCTTAAGGGGCCTGATGCCAAGCAGAACTGATTGCTGGTAAACTGCCATTCATAAAGTAACTCTGACCCTGACTATTTATTAGCTATAGCTATATATCTGTGTGGAGGCGGGGACGAATCCTCCACCGTAAACCTGCGAGTCGTATGAGGAGATGAAAAGGGAAGTCTCTAATCTGACACAGTAAAATAAGGTCCTGAGTCCAAAGGGACTAGGATCCGAGAAAGACTGCGCTGGAAAGGGCCAGCAGCATATGCAAAAGAAAGACTAATCCTCTCGTCAGAGAAGGAGCCTCACAAAATCAACACCGTAACTGTGACACGGTAAAAAATACCTGCTCATGAGCCTCAGACGGGGCTCGACACCAAGGTTTACTTACTGACTGACTGACCGTCAGTCGCAATGTGAATTTGACCCATGTGGAGGTGGGGTCAACTACCTCCACCATTTTCCTGCGAGTCGTGGGAGGCGACGAAAAGGGAAGTCTCAAATCCGAGACAGTAAAATATGGTCACAAGTACAAAGGGACTTGGAACCCCCCAAAAAAAAAGAGACTGCGCTGGAAGGGCCAGCAGCATATACAAAAGACAGATTCGTTCTCTCATCAGAGAGGGCATCCCACAGAAGCAAGACTGTAACTGTCAAACAGTAATAAATATATGGTCATGAGCTCCAGATTATGCTCGGAACAAAGACTTACTGACTCAGTGACTGACTTACCGTTAGTCGCAATGTGACTCTGACTTATTGGCTATATTTTACACAGTTTACAAATGGAATATATCTTCAGTTCAATGTAAGATGAGGCACAGGCAGATGATGACTGCAAGAGAAGTAGATCCCCCCCCAAGTCTTATCTTCATTAATTCTGATATTCCAGTGCTCACACCAGGTCTCCATTCAGACATACAGTCAAAGCCAAAGTCAAATTGAGCTATATATCAAGTCAAAGTCAGAGTAACATTGAGACTGATGGTCAGTCAGTCAGTCAGTCAGTCGGCAAGTCAGTCAGTCATTAAGTCTTGGTGTCAAATAAAATCTGTGAAATTTACAATACGAAAATTTAATATTGCTGTTTTGCACAACTAACATCAATATTCATTCCATAAATTAATTTCTAGAATATAACAAAACTAGTACTTGTCAACACTGCATTATGAGCAAAAAATTTTAAATAAAATTTTGTTCTCTGTTCTTATTTCCAACATATATCAGGCAAGAAGCCCACTGCCTTTCATGGCTGTTAACCTGTCTTGCTTCTATCTATAATTTCATCACCCTATGGTGGGACTGGTTAGCCACCGTTTTGGAGAACACTTCTTCATTCCACACTGCCATGTGATCCAAAATTATAAATGCAGGGAAACCATTTAATGATTACTCGATTCAGAAGGCTGGGTAGGCTCCAAAGCCAGTCTGGTCAATACGGAGAAAATTCTCCACCCTACTGGGACTTGAACTCTGACCCCCAATCACAGCTCCTATATCATTCGTTGTAGTTATATGAAATGAAGAACAATAGTTAAACTTCTCATTGGTAACACTTTATAATTCACTGGAGATGCTACAATGATGGCTTATTAACTGAATTACAGAATTAATATCTCACTGCAAAGAGCATTGTAGTTAAATTTATATGCTTTGTTCTTATTATTTCTTACAGGATCAAACCTTCTTTAAACTTGCAAATATGTCACATTAATGTTATATCATATTCACATATCTACATCATATAATTTACAGATATCTCCATAGTCCACCCTGTCAACTATTCTGCCCTTCAAAGGGCCTGAGGATATTTCAATGGTTACACAGAATTTCTTCTGATCCAGTTCACTAAGCATGGCACTGCAACCACTATAAGCACCATTTACAACACACATAGGTCGCCCTATTGCTGGTATCACAGTTTCAAGATGTTCTTGGTCTAGTTTTAGTTTGTGTCCACTATCTAACATGCATACTGTAGATACACAATTATCTGGCACTCCAGTCACAACCCTTTCTTCCTGTGGTATTTGTCACCCAGACACTTTGCCATCACCTTCACAACAATTCCTTTCACCAACCAGTAATCCTTTCTGTTTATACGTTCTCTCTTGTTCTCTTCATCTTTAATGATCTCACCAAGGGCTGATAACTTCCTCTTTTCACCTCTCCCTCCTCCAGATTCTTTTGAGTCTTTTCGGTTTCCTGCTGAAGAACAATTCTTCAATGCATTACGTGCCACCAAAGTTTTATTTCTCATGTCCTCATCCCCTTTTGTCCTTTTTGTTTCTAGCTTCAAATTTACAACAATTTTATGTTGCTCGCTTGGTCGCACAAACTCCGTGAAGACGTGTGTGTCATTCCTGGAACTTTCTTTCCCCTTCTCAATTTGCTTTTCAATAAAGGACATCATCCTCTCTCGCTCGTCTCTGTGGATCTTCTCCTTGCGGGAAACAGCTTCTTGCATGGCAATTGTTTCTGGGTCACGGTCTATATACTGGACATACAATCCTTCTTCAGGCTCATCCACCTTGCACTTTCCTTCTTTCCCAAGCCATTTCACAAAGTCTGTCAATGTATCCCACTGTGTAGAAGTCATATGCAAATGATGACGGTCAGAGATATAGTCCTGGTACACACTGTTAATCAAATATGCAAGTCAAACATTATATGAAAGTCATCAAATTCAGTTACAAATGAAACCAACTACATCACATCTCCTTATCTTACATCATCTTTTTCGTTCCCACTACAGCCACAGAGGTCCTAAGCCTACCCCCATCACCTTCTCCGTTCACTTCGATTTTCCTACATCTCACACATTCGGTAGGACGCCTTAGGAGGGTGATCAGCGGGTCGAAATGCCTCTACCTGTACATAAACACAGATGAATGCACACACAGAAATTAAACTTCTATACCATCAGTGGGATTCCAAACCACAATTCCGGTTTCCATGCGAGGGAAGACAGTTCATGCCTTACACCGCTTGGCTACCATGGCCGGTCCCTATCTTACATTACTCACTGAAAAATTTCATGCTAACAAATAGTGAACATTTTTACTTTCTTTGAAAAATGGAAGCCCCATGCTTACAATGCAAGAATAATGCCACCTGTATGGATGGCAAAGTAGGAAGGCAATCAGGCAGGATCAAAGAGGAAGCAACACGCAGGCTGAAACAGACAGGCAAGTATCCCTGCAAGAAACAACCCATCTTCACAACAACCACATGCATCAAAAACCCAAAAATTAATGGCAGAAAAATAAGTCTAAAAGCAGAGAACAACCAATATAAATCCTAAAAGTACTCTCCTGCTGTTCAACTTACCTGAAAATTCATGGTATGGTGTGGCGGTCCCATTTCCACTGCCATTAAGACACACTTGTGCTATGCAACTTCACCAGTACCAGATCAATTCCTCTCAAATCTCTACAACACGACACATCACTGAAGCTTTTGCGTGTTCATTGCCACATCTGTTTCATTGCAACTCAGCTCATAAAAGGATGTCGAAAAGCATCCACAGCAGCAAACTCCTAGTAGGTTATCTAATTCTCCAAAAATTTACCTGCAGAAAATATCAAACATCTCACTTCCTAGAAATATATGATGAAACTCCACCACGACCTCATAATTACAAATTCTTCATTATCTTAATTATAACAGAGAACAGTTAAAGTTAAATATGTAATTCAAACAACTATACAGTGCCTCAATTCCCATTACAAATTGAGAAAATATTATCACATTTTCTTATACGTCACATCATAACTCAAAGAATTCATGTTAAGTCAATACTGTGTCTTTCCTTCTTCCTCATGCCAAAGGAAGCCGCATGCATTCTACTTAAGAAGAATACCAGCTAGAAGGTGGGCTGAGGCAGGCAGGAAACAAGAAGAATAAAAAAGCAGGTTAATACATACTGAACAATAAGCATGCAGAAAGGCATCGAGACTAAGGCAAGCACATGCAGATATCTCAGACTCATCAGGCGACTCTCGTTTGAAGGAAGATACCGTTGACATAACTAAGATATGTTAACATAAATTCAACAAGTAACACGTGCACAAACTACTAAGATAACTCACGCAGAAGGGATTCCTGATGTACGTCACTTTGTAAATGGTGGTATGTTGTGGCGGTATCATTTCCACCAACACCAGGACCCATTATGTCTCTGTAACATACCCAGTAGCTGAACAATTCTCAACAACACTCTTCACCTCATTCCATTGATGTTTCCCTCCTCATTCAGTCTGACTTGTCACATTGCCGCTGACGTCTATTGCTGGTGACACAGGGCTACCATCATCAGCAACTTCCCACGATATCTTAGTCTCCAGAATATGGCCTGTAAGAGAAGAAATTCACTTGCTTCACAGAAATATTTCTTGAAGATCAACAGAAACTTAAGAATGACAAATACTGATTACCTGAATTGAAAGAGAGAGAGAGACAGAGAGAGAACACTGTTAATCAAATATGCAAGTCAAACATTATATGAAAGTCATCAAATTCAGTTACAAATGAAACCAACTACATCACATTTCCTTATCTTACATCATCTTTTTCGTTCCCACTCGAGCCGCAGAGGGCCTAGGCCTACCCCCATCACTTCCTCCGTTCACTTCGATTTTCCTACATCTCACACATTCGGTAGGACTCCTTGGGAGGGTGATCAGTGCGTCGAAAGGCCTCTACCTGTACACAAACACAGATAAATGTTCACACAGAAACTTAACTTCTATACCATCAGTGGGATTCCAACCCACAATTCCGGTTTCCATGCGAGGGAAGACAGTTCATGCCTTACACCGCTTGGCTACCATGGCCGGTCCCTATCTTACATTACTAACTGAAAAATTTCATGCTAACAAATAGTGAACATTTTTACTTTCTTTGACCAATGGAAGCCCCATGCTTACAATGCAAGAATAATACCACATGTATGGATGGCAAAGTAGGAAGGCAATCAGGCAGGATCAAAGACGAAGCAACACGCAGGCTGAAACAGACAGGCAAGTATCCCTTCAAGAAACAACCCATCTTCACAACAACCACATGCATCAAAAACCCAAAAATTAATGGCAGAAAAATATGTCTAAAAGCAGAGAACAACCAATATAAATCCTAAAAGTACTCTCCTGCTGTACAACTTACCTGAAAATTCATGGTATGGTGTGGCGGTCCCATTTCCACTGTCATTAAGACACACTTGTGCTATGCAACTTCACCAGTACCAGATCAATTCCTCTCAAATCTCTACAACATGACACATCACTGAAGCTTTTGCGTGTTCATTGCCAGACCTGTTTCAATACAACTCAGCTCATAAAAGGGTGTCGAAAAGCATCCACAGCAGCAAACTCCTTGTAGGTTATCTAATTCTCCAAAATTTTACCTGCAGAAAGAAATCAACATCTCACTTCCTAGAAATATATGATGAAACTCCACCACGACATCATAATTACAAATACTTCATTATCTTAATTATAACACAGAACAGTTAAAGTTAAATATGTAATTCAAACAACTATACAGTGCCTCATTTCCCATTACAAATTGAGAAAATATGATCAAATTTTCTTATACGTCACATCATAACTCAAAGAATTCATGTTAAGTCAATACTGTGTCTTTCCTTCTTCCTCATGCCAATGGAAGCCGCATGCATTCTACTTAAGAACAATACCAGCTAGAAGGTGGGCTGAGGCAGGCAGGAAACAAGAAGAATAAAAAAGCAGGTTAATACATACTGAACAATAGGCATGCAGAAAGGCATCGACACTAAGGCAAGCACATGCACATATCTCAGACCCATCAGGCGATTCTCGCTTGAAGGAAGATACCGTTGACATAACTAAGATATGTTAACATAAATTCAACAAGTAACACGTCCACAAACTAATAAGATAACTCATGCAGAAGGGATTCCTGATGTACGTCACTTTGTAAATGGTGGTATG